AAGCCATCTTCACCCTTCACCTCTAATAATCTTAATGCCTTTCCATGTTGCTAACAAATACTCCCTCTATCCCAAAACAAACAACTTATTTTCTTTTTTGGCCCGTCCCAAAATAAAAATTTATTTCATTTTTGGCAAGGAATATGTGTTAAACACAAATGACAATTCTTGGGGGCGGGGGGGGGGGGGGGTGAATAGAGTTGTCACTCAACACTGAAAAATTTCTCACAAATTATCCTTACAAAAATGCTCTTGTGTGAACCACGATTTTTAACACACATACAAGCAAAAATAAAGAATAAAAGGTAGGAAAAGACTATATTTTAGTTCAACCAACCTCTGTTCCTGTTTCCAGTGATTCCAATCTTTGGACAAACATGTCCGAGATTTCCACTACCTAATACCTATCATCTAAACTTAACGGTGTTTGGAAAAGCTTATAATTTGAGAATTTGAGTACAAAAGCCTCTTAACATCCACTTAAGGATACCACACATTAGAAATTTCTTTCCACTTGGAGGTACCCCCACTCCACGTATACATTGACAATTTTGATTCTTTGAGCACCCACAACACTAAGAGAGAAGACTCCTCTTCTCTTTAACATCCAATACAACAAAAACTACTGGAAAATATTTTCTTCAAGATGGATTATTGATTAACCAATAGGGAAATGGCAAATAAAAACTCTAAGACTCAAGCAAAGAGGATTAAACTCAGGCATGGAAGGAATGTGATCAAGTAAGATCATTGGCTTGGATATTTGAAGAAGTTTCCTTGTGAATGTTCTCAGGAGTCAAAACAATATAGCCATTTAGTTAATTTATTGTTGGGGGTGAAGCAAGATGGTCAAACTCGAGAATCGTTGTAGGATCGATGTACTTCGTAAAGATTTTGTAACTCATAAGATCGTGACACAGATCATAAGATCCTACACTCATACACACAAGAACAAGAATAACATTACCCCAATGCCTCAAAGGCTCCCGTCCATTGCGGGCTAAGGGGCCGGATGTACGCAACTTGACCCTATCTTTAAAACATAGATGGCTATTTCTAAAACTTTATTTTGGCTTCAGACTCTTGACCTCTTGGTCAACAAGCTTTGATATCATGTCAAGGAATCAATTCAACCAAAAACTCAAGCTTTTAGTTGTAGACATAGGAAAAGTTTTATACTCTAGCACACCCCCTCATGTGTAGGTGTGATTGATCTGAGCTTTGCATGTGAAATTTTAGTTACTTTTTTTTTAACTAGGTGGCAATGAGGTTCAAACTTGTGACCTCTTGTCAACATGGCTTTGATACCATGTCAAGGAACCAACTCAACCAAAAGCTTGAGCTTGTGGTTGGGTTGGTTCATGCCATGGTATCAAAGTCTTGTTGACCAAGTGGTCACGAGTTCGAATCTCACTACCACCCTGTCTAAAAAAAAGTAATGTTCACATGCAAGGCTCGGGCAAAAAGATCCTGCATGCATGCAAGGGTGTGTGTTCAACTATAAAACATTTCCTAGGCCTACAACTATAAGTTTGAGCTTTTGGTTGAGTTGGTTCTTTGACCTGGTATCAAAGCCTCTTTGACTAAGAGGTCATGGGTTCGAACCTCATCACCACCTAGTTTAAAAATAAATTGTTTAAGAAGTAATTAACACTATTTAATTATTTGTTGAGTCTTTTTATTTTTCATATTAATCATTTAATAATTGTTTAATTCCACTTAGTGGGAAGTTTGGGGTCAGTTATTCCCACTTAGGCAGTGTTTCGTTCAACTTATTTTTTCTGCTTATTACTTATTCTTATTATAATTAAATCAGATCAGACCAGATCAGAAATAGCTTTAATTATAACTGCAATCAGATCTGACAAGATCAGATTAGATCTTCAAAAAATCAAATCAAATCAGGTGAGGCAAGCAGAACGCAGCCTTAGTTAGTGGGAGGTTTAGGGTAAGTTTTTCCCACTTTGTTAGTGGCTGGTTATGAGTAAGTTATTACTAGTAGAAGTTAGAGTCTCTTTGTATAAATAGACATCTAGTCATGTGTATTGATTATGGAAGATTGCACTGTATTTTATCATTGGAGATTCTCCTTGGCTTTATTACTTATATGAGTTTAAGATTCTTACTCATATTTTGATAAAGATTCTTCTTTTTTATTTTATGAAGTTAGATGCTGATTTCATAGTAGTTAGTCAATGCAACTTTCGACAGTTATCATGGGTCACTGGAAACAGCCGCTCTATGTTTTAAACATAGAGGTCAGACATCCGACCCCCCCTTACCCCGCAGTGGACGGGAGCCGTTGAGGCACTGGGGTAATATTGTTGTTATTTGTTGTTGTAGATGCTGATTTCATAATTTAGTAAAAACTTTCCTTCATTTAGTTTCCTGGCCAATCCTGAGTTCTATCATTTGGTATACACATAAGATCATTATGGGTTCCTTCTACACAGCTTCAGTTTCTCCATTTTCTCCATTCAATTTCTCATCCAACAGTTATACTCCTTATGAAGTACACCAATTGTTTTACATTGTAGCTCGCCTTGATGTCATTAATTCCAAACACGCAGCATTTGAAATTCAAGGTACCGCTCTTAATCACGGGACACCCTACAAAAGAATCACATCCTGTAAGTTCCATCTAGAGGTGAAAGGAAATACAATTAAAAAAAAGAAGCGCAGGATTGCATTCGTTCGTAAGCCCAAACCCAATTCCTTTGCAGCCAACCGCTTCAATTCCTCTAGTCCAACAAGTAATTTCCTACGTGAGGACAAGAGAATTTCAATTGCAACTCAAAGTTGGCCCCTGATTGTGAATGTAATGGTGTTGTCCTCACATTGCCCTTTTCTTGAATCAGACTAGAGCATCTCTCTTGGAGAGCAATCAGCAATGGCAATTCGAATCGAGGTTGTTCTTCTAATACAAAGAGCCTCTGTACAGGATATCTTCTTTCTTGGAGGAAAAAGTGTCAAAAAATTGCCGGATACATAAAATACATTCTTCTCCTCACTTAATAATCTCATTAGAGCTAACTACAAATCCACAGTACTTTATCGCGGAAAGGACATAAGTACATCTGCCACAACGAATTCAACGTTTTCTTATAATACCTTGTGCGCTACCATAGCAGCATCTACTTTTCAATGGTGCATGCCTGGTCTCACCAAATTCTTCTCATCTATAAAAATGTGTAATAGAGGAATTACAGAATTTCTAGAATAAATGTAGGTAGTAATTCTTTGATGGTTAGGAATTGCTTGTTCATAAATTGAAATTTTCTTTTCAAAGAGTTCTAGCGTGAGACCGATGCAATGGGCCACACATGGTGTCCAATATAGCCTTTTTTGCTTCTCCATCAACATTTCCACAACTTTGTAGTTGGTGGCATTGCTCGTCACAATCTCAATGACCTTTTCCTCGCCCACATCTTCAACAACAACATCAATTATCTTAAAGAGCTTGTTAGCCGATTTGACTTTATAAAAAGCCTCAAGCGATTTCAAGAAAACACTTCCCTTTGGGAAATTTGCTAAAACAATTGTCAATGTTCTATTTTTTGTATCATTCCAACCATTAGTCATTATAGTGCACCTAGTTTTCTTCCATTTGTTCATTCACAATGATTTGTATCAAGCTCACTTCTTGTTTCAAATTCTTCATTTCATTCAATGACGGCGTGAATCTAGGCCCATGACTTGCAATTGCACCAAATATAATACGAAACTCTTCACTTCTTGACACGTTAAATGCTATGGCATTGATCAAGTAAAACCTAGAAATCGCTTGACTTGCATCCTTTCTCAAACTCTTCTTATACATATTGTTAATGGTGGCTTGAGTACTCACTCTTTTTCTGAAAAAGGTGTTAGACCCCTCACAAGCATCATCATTGATTTTTCTTTTATGAACATCGTCAGAATCATCATCCTCCTCTTCCTCCCTTTGCTTTTTCAATATACCAATAGCGACAATATTCCACATTTCTTGCTTTACCTTATCAGTGACACTTTTGCAAGAACCCACATCTCTTTCTATTCCCACCAAGTGATGCTTCATCCGAAAAACACTTATTATTTTGCTACAATAGTTGCATTGTAGTTTTCTATCACTTCCATAAATAGATTTTCTTCTGTGAGTTCTGTCTAGGAGCATTTTTTGCTACTTGTTTGGTAAAATGCATGGATGAATAGGGGATTTACATAAAAGTCTACATAGAAAGTAAAGATAAAGAATAAATAGAGTGGAGTATAAGAGAGGTGGGAGTTGTTCTACAGTAAAACAAAAAATTGCAGACTGCAGGACGCCTAGTGTAGAATAAGAAAAAAAATTGCACAAGCAGAATAAGAAAAGGAACTGGCTGGACATGAAAATTGAAAGTAGGAGGCTAGAAGCAAGTCGTGGACTGTCGGAATCTGAGCACAGAATGGAGGTAATAGCTCAGGAGTATTTGTGCGAGTGTGATGAAATAGAAGGATTATTCATACAAAGAACCCTTCTTCGGAAGAGTTATTTCCATTTTTGTTAAATCCTAAGAGTTGCGTAGATCGTTGCTTGGACATTCAGGCATGTGATTCTCGTTTCTGACATTTCATGCAAGTCCAGTCGATCTTACTGATGTTATGATCTCACTCCTCGAACCGGACGAGTCGATTTTGTGAATCGCATGTTTCTACTCTCCGGAACGTGATTTTGACTACCTTAGGGTGAAGGGGTATTGGTATAGGCCACTTATATTTGAAAAACTAGCTATTGGGCAGTTAAAACTACTAAGTAATCAATTACTAAGACATAGCATTCAATTACGATGTGGTTTCTAGCCGTTGGTGTGCCAAACCAAACTCAAGTAATCAAATACTAAACTTAATTTTTCAGCAGCATCCTTAAGTAATCTAGAGTATTACTTAAGCTGGCACTGCTGGCAGTGGAAATCTGGATTCAACAGCATACTTAAGTAATCTATTACTACACGTCTTGAGCAGGCAACATGAAATTCGGATTTTGAACCATGCCTCGGTAATGTATTACTTCAAGAGGTAATCGATTACTCAAGGTGGTAGATGGATTTTTTTTGTTGCGGAGAACATAAGTGATCAAATACTATTGCTATTTGCTACTTATCGATTACCTTTTGCACCAACAGGTAATCAAGCGTAGACAAGGGGTTAAATCCTATGGAGAACGATGGGACAAGTTAAGGTTAACATGGATTGTTTAGGAGTCACTATGTGCCGTGCTATATTCTTTAACAAATAATGCCAAGGCCTAAGAAAAACAGTTAACTACAGAAACTCCTGCCTCGGTCCTTGTCGTGCAAGCATTTTCCCCTTTGAAACAGACTAGATGACTTCGTTGTAGCTCTTGAATATCTTCTAACTTAGCCATGAAGAACTACTTGATTGTCAAAAGTTCATCTCAAATGTCTCATTATCAAAACTTGAGACAATGGGAAAATATCTTGCAATACAAATATCCATGTAAAAACACATTATCCAACAATACGTGGCCATCATTTTTTCTCTTTCAAATCAATTCCAAGCACACATTTAACATTTCTACACTTTTCTTAAACTCCGTGTCCTATCAAAGTGGATTATTACTTTGGGATGGAGGGAGTGAATAGTTTGCGGATTACTTGGAGCATTGCATAGTCCTCATCCTTTTTATTTTCTATGCAGAACCTAATCTGCGGGAAAAATTTGGTTGTAGACAAAAGCATTGAAAAAGCATATATCCATGCAATAAGATCAGCTCAACATTTCATATATATTGAAAACCAGTATTTTCTTGGGTCATCATATGCTTGGCCATCATACAAAGATGCAGGTAAATTAGAGTCCATTATAACTCATTTTATCTGCTCAACTCTGCAAGTTTTTTAGTTACCTCTTCCGTTAAAAATGCTTCCTTTTTTGTATTTATCTCTTTCTCGATGTTTGAACATTTATGCATGGAATGCTATCCCTCCAATTCATGTTCTTGCTGTATATTCCATCCAATTCTATACACATTTCTACTAGGTGCTGATCATTTGATCCCAATGGAGTTGGCACTAAAGATTGTTAGTAAAATTAGAGCCAAGGAAAGATTTGCTGTATACATAGTTGTTCCAATGTGGCCTGAAGGGGATCCCAAGTCAGCTACCACACAAGAAATCCTCTATTGGCAGGTAATTTGATTCTTGTTTCTTGTCGTGAGCTGCTTTCCACCAGAAGATACCAGCATCATATATGATATATTAATGGCGATCAGCTGATCAAAGTTTATTAATTAACTGCTTGGTATCTATAAGACCCCATTTTAATAATTTGAAAGATAGACGAAGAAGAAAGAATGTCGTAATTTGTGTGGTCTCTTTAAGTGAGAATGTACTAGTTTTCAAGAAACATTGTATCAACACCATGAATAACTTTTTGACAATTTGAATCTCTATATTGCATTTTATAGAGCCAGACAATGCAGACAATGTATCAAGTTATTGCAAGGGAGATCAAGTCTATGCAGCTTGATGCACATCCTTTGGACTTCTTGAATTTCTATTGCCTTGCCAACCGGGAAGAAGCTGGTTCAGTGACTCCGTCGCTTAGTGCCACAGATAAGGTAGCCTTCTGAAGAAATTCTTTCAGCTGCTATTTGGAAATTGTTCTTTAGGGTCCGTTTGAGAAGGGGGGAAATGACTTCCGAAAGTTATTTTCCAATTTTTTGGTGTTTTGCTGTTCCAGAATATAATGGAAAAATTTAATTCCGACCAAAGTGAATGGATAATGAGTTATTTGGTAGGAAATGATTTCCATTTCTGTTCTGGCGAAGGACATATTCCACTCTTCTCCAACTTCTTAGATTGAGACTACCACGTTTTATTATCTTATAACAATAAAAACTACTCCCTCCGACCCAGAGTATTCGTCCTATTTGATTTTTTAAGTCAAATTGGACGAACTTTAACCATCAATTATATTAAATTTGCATTACATATTAATACAATGAAATAAATTTCTGAAAAGTTTTCGCAATATAAATGTAATGAAACCGTTTTTGTACTAATATGCAAAACTCGACGGATACTCTAGGACGGATGTAGTACTTTTTCTCTTTCTTCAAACTTTCAACCAAACACTAGAAAATGAATTTATTATCTAGAAACCATTTTTTGTCTTTTCAAACTGATCCATAGGGTCTGTTTGGGAACTAGAGAAATGATTTCTAGAAAATGACTTCTGGAAAATAAGTTTATTTTTCTTAAGTCATTTTCCTTTTGTTGTGTTTGTCTGATAATTATCTTTTTTTTTTTGCACATTTTTGAAAAATGAATATCTGCAATACCTGGTTGAGGATCTTGAACAGATTGTAGAATCATTCTGATGTTTTGCCATTATTTATAAATACAACTCAGCTCCTTCATTTCTTACCCTTCATTTCTTACTTAATATTTAATTTATGATTAAATAATATGTATACAAAGTGGTAAGCACAAAGCCCAATCTTCAAGCAAAAATTAACCATATTCAAGCAATAATTGAGAAAAATAGCCTGCAAATTGAGAAATTAAAAATGGGGGATCCCAAATCCAATCCTCTCAATTTCTCCATCAAAGCTAACGCCCACTTCCGAATCTCAACCAAAGCCCCCTCCTCCCTTTAACTCTTCATACATCCTCCGCCCTCAATTTCTCCATCAAAGCCAAAGCTGATGCACAACCTATTCCACAGTTGTCCTTGGCGGAGGTGAACAACGCATTTGCGGTGGCCAAGGAGGGAATTACCTGGGTGGTGGTGAAGAAGAATAGTAGGTGACAGAGTGAGGTGTATGGAGAAGAAGATGATGATGAGGCGGCACAAATACGAATGAAAAAAGAGATGGAGGAAGCCCTGATGTTTGACACGAGGTGCTTATGGAAAGTGTCTTCCGGATTTCATTTATGGAAGACAAATTCCTGATTTTGATCTTCCTTTTCCATTAACACAGGCTTTCATTTTCCTTTGACTTAAATTTCCTATACTACCACAGGAAAATGGGGAAAATGACTGCCAGAGTCATTAAAATAGGGCCTTAGTGTATTTCATGCTTCAAAAGGTACATTAGAGTTTAACCTAATTATATTAGTGACAATCTGGAAGCACTTGTTGAATTTGCAATGATATTTGTAGGTAATTATTTTTACTGCTCTCAGCTTTTTGATTGCTTTTTGTTTTTGGTGATGCTATGCGAGGGGAATGAAAGGGCTCTACCTTCTTCCACTAAGCGTATGATGTGTTGTAATTGCGTATGAAGTATATTATTTATGAACAAATGTAGTTTTCAAAGAATTTTCTGTTCACATTCTGTGCTTTGTTTTGATAAACTTGGATGGCTGTATCTAATTTAATGTCTGCGTGGTTTGATGAATTTGACTTGCTATTAAACCAGGTTTCAGATGCATATAAGTTTCAGCGATTCATGATATATGTGCATGCAAAAGGAATGATAGTTGATGACGAGTATGTCATTTTGGGATCTGCCAACATAAACCAGCGATCAATGGCTGGCTCAAAAGACACTGAGATAGCTATGGGTGCCTACCAGCCTCAACATACATGGGCAAAAAGACAGCGACATCCTCGTGGACAGGTTCCATTATTTACTCTAGCATAAATTGACTTAAAGTCATAAAGACCATAAAACGAGAAAGAGACAAATGGACTAGATTATTTGATTTCAATCATCAAACAGATATTGATTATCCTAGTCTCTAGTTATATTGATACACATTTAATTTAACAAATAAAACTATTCATCTGCAAACAAATTCTGTTAGAATTTGCATAGATGCTATTATATTCTATGTGGAACATACATATGAATGTTGCACAGCAGTACAAGTAGCCTGCCACAGCTGAAATGTGCTTCCGTTTTGTCCTTGTAAACTCCTGCAGGTCTATGGATACCGAATGTCTTTGTGGGCAGAGCACTTGGGAATGCTGGAAGAATGTTTTAATGAGCCAGGGGAGCTGCAGTGTGTGAAGAAAGTGAATGAGGTTGCTCGGGAAAACTGGAGAAAATACACGGACGACACCTTCCATCACTTGCAGGGCCATCTTCTGCAGTATCCTCTACTGGTGAATGCGGATGGTAAAGTATGTCCCCTACCTGGGCATGAAAATTTCCCGGATATCGGGGGTAAGGTAATTGGAACTCCCTCCACTACACTTCCCGATGTTCTGACAACGTAATAATTCTTGCATCCCCAACTTCTCTTTCTCTCTTCCCTTTGAGCGAATGTTATTTGTTGTACGCACACTTGGAAATATTTTCAGTTGAATGTACTTGGCGTGTTTCTTTTTCTCATTTCCCTACTTGAGGAGAATGGCATATTGGGTTTCAGCCTATGATTGAATGTAGATATGCGATTCCATGGACACAAGTAAGATAATACAGCGTTTAGAGCTTGTTCTTATTAAAAATAAATCAGATTAGAAACAATTTTAAATATAACTTCAATCATATCAGACTAGACGCTAACCAAATCAAATCAGATGGGAAAAATGTTAAAATAGCGCTTCATGCACCCACCTCTCACCAGCACCCCTACTCTGGCGTGTTAAAAAAATTGTTTGAAGGCAGCCATTTCTCTTGGTGGGCATGTACTTTGGCCTTCCACTTTAGTCGTCCATGTGTATTTTCTATATTTGTTTCTCTTTATAGCTTATGTAATTGAAGGAGGTTGGGGGGAGGGGTTCGAGGTTGGGCTGAGGTGGAGGGTTTACCAAGGGGGTTAGAAGGGATAAGAAGCGTCAATTTTTTGAAGGTACATCGTAGGCACCCAATGTCATCCCATGACATTGATTCTCGATGTCATGAGAACCAAGCCAGTAATTAATTAGCAGAAAACTGCACATGGGTACCTCATATTTTTAAAATATACTCTGAGGTACCCTCTATTTTGAGAAATTAATTGTCGGGTAACTAACATTTTTAAAATATACTTCGTGGTACCTCCAAATATATATTAACTTACCCGTGAGGGACATTCCGTATCATTCAAAAGCTTCGATTAAATTGGATGAATCGTATCCTTAAAGTATAAGAACCAAGGTTATTTTTGGAATTCCAAACCCCTATTTCTAAAAATTAATGGCGTAATTGGATTTGACGGAGAGTGAGACGGAACGTCCCTCACAGGTAAGTTAATGTATATATTTGGAGGTACCCCGGCGTATAATTTAAAAATGTGAGGTACCCGATACTTAGTTTCTCAAAATAAAGGGTACCTTAGAGTATATTTTAAAAATGTGAAGTACCTGGCAGTTAGTTTCTCAAAATAGGGGGTACCCAAGAGCAGTTTTCTGATTAATTAGCCAATAATAATTCATTCATAAAATAAGATACAAGTTTTCTCTGTTTCTGTTAATTTCGTTCCTATTTCTTTGTTGCTCCATCGTTGTCTTCCTCGAAGCTTCAAAACCTCAATCAAGATAAATTGTTCAAAATAGATCATGACTAACTTAACACCATGATTTGGGTAACCTGAGTCAATCATATCGGGCCAGATGTTAATGCATTCGGGTTCTGTGTTGAATTCTCCAATCATTTAATCTTAAAATAAAAGAAAGCTATAGAAACTCCCTCGCAGGACACAAATATTAGTCCAACCTCTAATACCATGTTTAACTGAAGTGAGTACGATGTTTGGGATTGAGAGAGTACGATGTTTGACTCAAATAAATTTTTTGGTGATATAACCAAAGAGATAATAATATACATTCAATTAATTACAAAAAATTTGCGGGAAAAATGGCAAAAAGCTGCGTTGTTATCTCTTTTTAAATAGAAAACCTAGGAGTACCTATACTGTACAGACGACTGTACAGAAACTATAGTATAACCGGGCAGTATTCATTTTATCAAATGTCTAGCTAAAATGGGTAATGAACGTAGTTAAAGTTTGATCCTGTGAATAATAAAACTGACAATTCAAATTGAGACGGATGGAGTATTTTATAAAATGGATAACAAGAACAGAAAAAGTGGATAAAGTTTGAGCATATAATTAATGATCATAAAATATAAATCGAGGAAGAGGAAGTTTGAGCATACAATTAAATGACAAATGTTAATCCATGCATCCGAATGTCACTCGTCTTCTTTTGGGAACATAGTGCAACTTCAAAATAGTTTTGTAAAGCTCGAAGTTGGAGCTTAGTGTGATATTTGTTTTGAGCAAAGCTCGAAGTTGGAGCTTAATGTGAAATTTGTTTTGAGCCTTTCGCGTGTTACATACGAAACATGAGTGAATGTGAATAACAAAGGAATATATGAAAGTTAAAAAGTAGGGGTCACTCAAACTTAGAGTCTCTTCTTTAGAGCTTGAACTCCTAACTTCCAGTTTTTTTCAGATTTTTCCAGTTCTTTTTCACTTTCTTCCAATTTCTTACAGTTTTTCCAATTTCTTCCAGTTTTTTCTAATTTTTTTATAGTTTTTTCCGGTTCTTTCCAATTTCTTATAACTATTATTATTTTATTCAAACTCTTTCTACTTTGTGACAAATCACTCTAAAAATAGTATATTATTATTATTATTATTATTATTATTATTATTATTATTATTATTATTATTATGTTCATAACTATAGTTTATAAATTATTTAATTTTTTTCATCTCACTATTTTTATGATTCATGCCCATTATTATTTTTTCTTCAACTTTTTAATATGAATAATACCATTTTTTGTATATTAATCTACATGATAAAATAGGAAAACATCAATATTTTAAACTATTTAAAAAACTTATGAATAAAATAGTTACATAGAATGTTTTTTTAATCTAAATTTATAATAATGATAATAATAATAATAATTTATAACAAAAAAAATTAGAATGATAATAATATAAACACACAAAAAAAATTTTAAAAGTTTTTTTTTATTTTCTAATTTTTTTCAGATTTTTTAAATTTTTTCTTGTTTCTTTGTGTTCTTCCAGTTTCCTCCAGTTTGTTCCAATTTCTTACAATTTCTTCCAACATCCAGCTCTTTTTTTCTAGTCCTAAAGAACCGAATTTTAATTAATTAACAAGGTTCCAAAATTATATAGTTCTTGTATGTATTCAAAATAACCACTATATATAGTAACTGATTTTAGTCACTTCAGTTACAACTACCTGCTACTCCTCCGAAGCTGCTTGCTCCTTCTTCAATAGTCGTTAATTAAGTTTCTCCAACACATAACAACACCAGTGACCTCCCTTTAATTAACTGAACTAATTAAAGATCTCCAACTAAAGAAAAGCTAGATCGAGGTGCTCTATCTTTACTCTTAATAACTCATCAGGAAGAAGTAAAAGTTTATTTTTTGATAGATTGAGCTTGATGAACTTCTCTTTTTTGTCTATGTAGTTATCCACATATTTTTTCTTAAGCGTTCCTTCAAATGATCTTCATTTGGTTGTTCGTCATCCTTTCTCATTCTTCTTCATTTTCTTCTCTTGTTGCTATATAGGATGGTGTTTTGAGCTATCCCTTGAGAAAGATAGCTCAAAATGTAGATGATGGCTAACCAACGTGCATGATGGACGTGAACTTATATTTATTGTGTTGTAAATCTTCTTCAAAAATTTTATTCAATTTATGGTGAGATGAGTTTTCTCGGTCGCTTCAATAACTATCGCAAGATGTTTTTCTACAATGAATGATGCAAAGTCTGATTTGCACCAATTTTGACATTAAATTTTGACAAACAATCGAGGTTAAAGTGTAAATATACATGGTGTGACGGTGTGACCAACTGTTGATAAGTAAAGTAACTCCAATGGGGAAACTAAATGAGGAGGCATTCCTCATAACTTCCAAATTTAAATTCTCTTTTCTTATATTTTCCATTCAAAGCGTGAATGTAAATGTAGAGGTAAAATCATAGTTTTGAGAACCGGACCGGAGACCGAACCGGTCAAGGTACTGGTTCACTGGTTCATTGGTCGAACCAGTGGTTCAACTGGTCGAACCGGTGGTTCAAACATATTTAAAAATTAATTAAATAAATAAATAAATAAATAAATTTATATATATATATATATATATATATATATATATATGTATGTATGTATATAATACATAAAAAAAGTAATTTATAATATTTGACAAAAATTATATTAACATACTTGAGTTATTTTACTAAATTAAAAGATAAAATTTACATGTTAAAAATAATATTAAAATTTTATTAAAAACATATCAATGATTTTGTGTTTGACTCATAGCATATAATACTACGTATTATATTTTTAAAATTGAAAAGTAATTTTTATACAATCTTTTTATTAATTATGAAATATTAAAAAAAATTATACGAATTTGAAACAACAAATACCGTTAGTTGGATCGTTAGGAACTCAACCAAATAGCTAAGAGGTTTTGGGTTCAAACCTCCATGGAGTGAAGTTTTGGAAAAAAAATTGCAAAAAAAAAAAAAAAAACTGGTCGGACCGGTCTGACCGGCCGATTCTTACCGGTTCATACCGGTTCAGACCGGTTCGAAGCACATTACGGTCCAATGAGCCGGACCGGACCGGTTGGACCATCGGTTCGCCGGTTCACGGTTCGAACCGGCCGGTCCGGTCCGGTTTTTAAAACTATGGGTAAAATACCTTCTTTCTTTTTAAAGAGGTATCAATCCCTTTCCAAAAGTGAGAAGGTTAAAGAAAAAAAGAAGCAACAAGCAAGTTAACTTCAAAATTTGGCTTCCCTTTTTCAGTTTTCACATATTTTTGCATTCTAATGGAATGGCAAAAATTTCCAATTTGGAGATACTGTCAATACCCCTTCAAATTTGCCATTTCAAATATACTTTTTTTCTTCATTGGTTATCAATTATGATCATTTCTTTATAAAAATAATAATCAGCTTTTGGAATAAAGTAAATGAAAAACATACCTTCTAATGGGTATATCTCATCGTGACAACTCCATTAGAATAAGTAGACAATTACTGAAATGAGATAAATTCGATTTTAATAGAAAAGTATTGATAGAAAGCACTGTACATAAATAACATAAACATAACATACTTGCTTCTCTCTCACAAGAATCGAACTCAGACTTCTCTGAGACTCTGAATAATCCTTTATTATATATATATAAAGCAGAGTCGGAGCTGCAGGAATGCGACATTTGGCGGAGCTGTGGCGCGACATGTGGTGAGGCTAATGTGTCATTTTTTAAGAAGAAAAAAATGATGTGGAAGGTGACATGATGTGTCATGAAACCTAAACCAAAAAGGAAAAAAAAAAAGAAAAAATCACGCAGATCCAAAAAAAAAAAGAAAACTACGAACACAAATTCCTAATACGCTGAGAGTCACACGCTGCTTTCCTTTTCTTCTCCCAAATTCCTTCATCATCTCCTTTCCTTTTCTGGGCGAAATCGAACACAAATTAGGAAAGAGATTATAGAT